TGATCTGCACTCTTAAATGCATTTTTTCTTCATTCCAAAATGCAATTTTCTTCATTTCCTTTGTTCCTTTGGATTCTCAGGTTATGCTATGATACTTCCAACTCGCTTTTTTTCACTTTCTTAACCTCTCACCGCTCCTAGAACATGCCTTTATGCCAAGATTATGATGACTTTAAAACACAATCAATTAAGCCCTAATTTACTTTTATTTTACAATCAATGCATTCAAATCACCTTAATAGTACAAAAGAATCAAATAAGTATATACTTAGCTTCCCATAAAAAAAAAAAATCATATAAATTTGATGTCAAATATGTACCTAAAAGGTTCGTTAAAAATTCAGACGCATGCATCTGGACTCCATAACAATAATGGATATTTGACATCTTATGTACATGTGGCCGCGAGTATGTATATACTGTATACAAAGAAAATAGTGAAGTATGACTTTTAAAGGTTCCCTCAATAGAATTATATATACACAAGCCCAATCAACTATTCAAATTTATGACGTGCACTAGGGCGCACATTGAATTGTGCTGGTGCAAAACGACGTCATTTTATATATATATATATTTTTTTTTGAAAATTTTACTTTCTGCGTCAGCTGTTAACTTCTTAAATAAAATTTCATGTTTTGAAAATGTACATAATTGTATAACAGAATGTACATAATTATATAACAGAATACACATATTCTTTTTTGAAAAGATAATACACATAATCTAACATAATACATAATACACATAAACTCTTAACATAATACACATAAACTCTTAACATAATACACATAAACTTTTAACTCTTAAAAAAATTCTATGTTTCGGATGTACATAATTGTATTATAAAAAAATGTACATAACTGTATAAAAAATGTGCATAATTATATAAAAAAATGTACATAATTGTATAACATAATGTACATAATTATATAACAGAATACACATACACTCTGTCGCGTCAACTCCCCACACAACTTAACAAAACGACATAGTTTTGAAAGGTGCGGGGCGCACATTGCTATGTGCGCCGTGGTGCACGGTATAACGATTAAGAAAACACAATGTAACTACTGCAACGATGCAAAATTGGGTTTGGCTTTATGGCTCCAGAGCTAAAATATATTGATCCTGTTTGGTAACATAGTTATTAGTCAGTTTTGACTTATTGATCACTATTAGCTATTTGACTTGGTTAAACAATCAATATGAGTATTTGATTAATTAGCTTTTTGTAACAGCTTATTGCTTTTCTAAAATTTAAAAAGTTGCTCAAAACAATTTTTTGAGAAAGTCATTTTGCATATAATCAACTATCAGCTAACATCTATTTACTAAACACTCTCTTAAGACACACTATTCATGTAAAAAGTAATTTGGGTGTGAGACAAGTAGCAACCATTTTTAGTAGGCTTTGCAAGAAACAAGAATACGATATCACGAATCCAAGAACAATATAACAAAATATTCAAGAATTCAAGGTAACATATTTCAATAAGAACACATTTTATATATGGCATCTCATAGATAAGGATCTGTGAGTCAATCTCATTGGAGACTCACACCCTTCTTTTTTTAGTCACAACATATATGGCAAAACAAGGAGCTACAATCTGATAGCAAAGCGATAAGAACACATTCTATAGATAGAGGTATTTTTCAGAGATTTTTTTTTTTGTTTGGGTGTATTTGTGAGATCAGTTGTATGTATTTTGATCCAATTGTTTTGGAAGACAAGTTTGTTGGGTATGTCTCATATGTTACTAGGAGATAAAAGGTGTTGGAGTATAATGGAGCGAATCACAATGAAGCAAATCAAAATGGTACATGATAGTTTTTTTTTTTTTTTTTTTTTAAAGGTACCAGGTTGTCTATAAATATGATGTTGGTAGCCGGGATGTTTATTATCACAATTAATAAAAGACCTCATCTGCCCCATGAGTGCATAGCCTCTCCGCCAAACGATTTAAACTCTTATTCTTCATTTTTTATTTTGTTTTCTATTCTTAATCTCTTGATCCAGCTTTTTGCCTTTCTCAACAAATATTTGTAACATTTAATATTTAGACTTTATAACTCATGGATTTATGCTAATTTTTTTTTTTATAGAATTTCTTAACCAACAAGAAAAGCAAGTTCATGCATGCGTATATATACTAAAAAAGTTTATTGTGATCTTACATGTGAGGACTGAGGAGTATCTCCCTAGTGATTTGATACCAATTTGACAATTTATTGGAACTTTAGAGCACAAAATTCGGGAGCCTTGTGTGTGTCAATTGACTCATTAGCCTAACGTAACCTTTTTTGGGAATGAATAATAAATTTACTAAACTATAATAGGTTGCTTAGGCCTTGCCTTATTGGAGACAAAGTTATTAGATAAATGTCTTTGTTTCTAGTCTTATGCATTGTTAGTTGATTTTGTGAGGCTTATTTGGCCTTTGTTCTAGCTGATTATGTAGACAATTTGGATGAATGAATTTTAGGTTACATACAAAACCTAAAGACATATGATGGAAAACCCTTCTTTGAATGGCATCAATCAATCCTAGCTAGTTCTTAGTTCTTACCACTCAAATACTAGATGTGTGACGAACTCCAGCCTTCAACCCCCACGCTCCCCCATCCCCCCTCCAAAAGATCGATTTTAACCAAGCACGACATTCCATAGCACAAACATCACTTTCGAATATGAGAATGTTGCAAACTTTGAACTAAATTTTCATGACAATAATCTTCAACAAATCATTTCAATCCTGGTGACGTGAGCTTAACTCCAGCCAAAGAATTCATATCAACTTATTTGACTAATTGACGTACTCTTACCCCAATATACTTTAATCTTAATAGTGAGGAAAGAATAAAGTTAGTTTTATGTTAGGCTATAATTATTATTATTATTATTATTATTATTATTATTATTATTATTATTATTATTATTATTATTATTATTATTATTATTATTATTATTATTATTATTATTATTATTATTATTATTATTATTATTATTATTATTATTATTATTATTATTATTATTATTATTATTGTTATTATTGTTATTATTGTTATTATTGTTATTATTGTTATTATTGTTATTATTGTTATTATTGTTATTATTGTTATTATTGTTGTTATTGTTGTTATTGTTGTTATTGTTGTTATTATTGTTATTATTGTTATTATTGTTATTATTGTTATTATTGTTATTATTATTATTATTATTATTATTATTATTATTATTATTATTATTATTATTATTATTATTATTATTATTATTATTATTATTATTATTATTATTATTATTGTTATTGTTATTGTTATTGTTATTGTTATTGTTATTATTGTTATTGTTATTATTATTATTATTATTATTATTATTATTATTATTATATTTATTATTATTATATTTATTATTATTATATTTATTATTATTATTATTATTATATTTATTATTATTATTATTATTATTATTATTATTATTATTATTATTATATTTATTATTATTATTATTATTATTATTATTATTATTATTATTATTATTATTATTATTATTATTATTATAATGATGATGATGTTGTTGTTGTTGTTGTTGTACTTCAATTTGTATTATCTTAAATTTAATCATTTCAATATATTTGAATTTGTACTTTATTTAATTTTAGTTAATCTTAAATTTCATTTTTGTTATTTTAATATATATTTTATTGTAATTTATATATTATTGATACAAAACAATAATTGTGGAGATAAAATAAGATTTATTGATAAAAGATAATAATTTTTTAATGTGATGTGAAAGTAGGACCACTTTTGAAAGTGAGAGAGTGATGTAGAGAAAATAATAAATAAATTGTAAATTTTGTGATGTGAAAATATAACTTACTTTTTAAAATGAGAGAGTATTGCAGAAATAAAGATAGCAATGGTCACAACCTTTTCTAGTCGTACATGTATCATTTTTTTTATTTAAAAATAATAAATTGATTAATAAGATTGTTGATTTTTTTTTTTATTTATTATCATTTTTTTGGGGCTCAAACTCACTACAGAACTTTGAAAGTAAAGCTTGTGAGAATGGTGAGAACACGAGATGGAAAGGGAGATACTAGTAGCCTGCACCATTTTGACCCAAAATTGTATATTAGCTGAAATAAAAGATTAAAACTTTGCAACACATTGTTGAAAAAAATAGCAAAAATGACATTTTATGTGGCTATTTTGTGTTACAAATATCAGTGAGGTCTATTTTCGATTTGGGTCTAGTCAAAACAGATCCGGCCATCCGGGTTTTCCTAAGTTAGATAAAGAAATCGATATATTGTACACTCATTAAGGAGCATTTAGCCATGTCTGCTGAGTCATTGGAGTTGTTATACTATGGACCACGGTACCTTGCAAGGTGGACCCTAGTCCTAAACGATATATAAATTGTGTATTTTTAGTATTGGAACTGTGAACTTCTAGAATATAAATTGTATTTCTAAGTCAAAACACATAACAGCTGTAGAAGAGAATTTGTGAATACAATACAGGATCATCAAATCCTAATATATTAATATTGTGTGACTATCGTATTTGAAAGGAACTTGTGAATACAAAATAAGGTAATCAATTACATATATGTTACATTGTGGGTTTATAGTAGACAAATAGTGAATTTTCAAAAAGTAAATTGTGAATATTAAGTAGCTTATGTAAATTGTGAACATTTGGACCCGCGTCCACCTTGCAAGGTGGACTTGATCTACAGAATAATTTATGGAGTTATTGAAACCATGATTTATATCTTCTCAAATGTTCTGTCGAATCGAGATGTGAGGGTCCTTGGGGTTGAGGATTCAACCTTTTCAGAGAAGTGCTAAGGATTATATATATTCACAAATGAAATTAGTCGTCTTCAAATACATTATTCAACACTTCCAGTGTTAAAAATAAAATAAAACTAAAATCATGGAAGTTTTACGTAAATTTAAATCAAAAGAAAGATAAAATTAAAATTACCAGACGACCAAGAATTAATAGTTTATAATCTATCTGCTTTCTTGCATTATATAATTAGGTTTGAAAATGGCCACCACCTTCTTGAACGCCGTTACGAGTTCTCCCATATCATCGGCGCCGGAATTGTGAGTCACCGTTCCATCGTTTCCGGCGAGAACCCTGTACTTGTCCTTCCTCGTAAAGTTTGTGCACTCGAACCCTAACGTTGCCGCCAATATCCTCTGCACATAATTGGCGACTTCTTGGGGAGTTTTTCCCGAGGCGCATGTTGCCTCGGCCGGCAACTGGTTCAAGAATGTAACCTCGTAAATGGGTCTAGGGTTCATGAAGAAGAAGACCGGGTCCATGGCTTTCCAACCTCTAGCGGTTGTTGCATGGAAAAACCCCACTCTGTAGTTCATGGCCACCGGGACGATCCGGTCGGTTAATTCTGCGAACAGGGCGCTGAACCGGAGGAGAAACGCTTCTCTGCATGTTGTACCTGTAACAATTTTTCATATACTATAATATTATTTATTTGTGAATTGTGATGCAAATATATCACTCAATCAATAAACGATTTAGTAACTTAGATATTTGATTTTAACTTATTATTGTGTATATATACTATACCATTTAGTATTAAAAACAGGCCAGAGTACAGTGGTAAGGGTGGAGGCAACCTATCAAATTGGTTAAATTGTTAATTTAGTATAAAAGGTTATTACAAGTTCGACTCTCAACTGAAGTGGCCTGGTCTATTGACCTCTTTAGTTTGAGCTGGTTAGTCATAGATAATCTAAATTGGTTTCCTTTCTTGTGCACACTTACGGGTAGCGGTTGTGGGTTTTCCTCATCACTCAAAAAAGACAAGTGTTTAGACAAAATGGGCGGGGTTTACTTTGTGCACACTCTTGAGTATTGACGGCAGATTTTCCTCGTCACTCAAAAAAAGAGAAGTGTTAGACAAAACAAATGAGATTTACCTGTGCACACCCTCTAATAGTGACTGTAAATTTCTCTCATCACTCAAAAAAGAGAAATGTTAGACAAAACAGGACTGTTTACTCTGATCTATCTATGTTTTCGGGTAGTGGTTGAGGGATTCCATGTAGACAAAAGGATTAACGTTTTTGGACAAATTTACTATTCTAAAGACAATATCTATGGAGATATCAGCTATGATTAGAGATAGACCGATATATCATTCTAAGTTTATGTTAGTATACATTTACATAATTACATTTAACAATACCTTCTGGGCACACGACAAGATCTCCGTTCTGGAGCTCGCGTTTGATTTTCGCGGCGTCTATGTCGCGATTTCTCGTCAAACGGACGGTCGGGATCGGAGATAGGATCTCGGAGAAGCGCGAGATGGAGTAGGTTACCGCCGGGATTCTACGTCGGAGGACGGAGGAGAGGACGACGGGGTCGAGCAATGAGCGGTGGGTGCAGACGAAGAGCACTCCGGCGGAGTTGGTGGTGGAGACCGGCGGCGGCGGGTTGCCTTTCACAATAACTTTGCCGCCGAAATAGGATGCTAGATAGGGAACGGTCCATATCGGTAGAGTTAAGCCCACAGCCATCCGAACTGCGGCGAGCAGGATCCCTACCGGTATCCATAGAAGGATTAGAAGCGCCGTCGACGGTGTCGGACGCCTCGCCAGGCGGCCGTCGTGAAAGAACACCGGCGAAGGCTTTATTATCCCGCATTCTTGATTTTTGCCACTATCAAATGGTGGACGCAATTGTTGCTGTTCACAAAGATATTTACAAAAATTTTAGTACGTACATTATCTAGACCTAAACTTTTATGTTTCATCTAGTCTGAACTCTAGTCATTATAACTATTTTTTTTATTTCAAATTCCATTTAATCAATCGACTCCACTAGTCTTTATCCCTAACTAAAAAAATAGGATATATTTTTTTTTTTCAATTTTGATCGTAGGACTATTCAACTCATTTTTACCCTAATTGAAAATAAAATGTTTTTCCCATTTTAATACCATGATTATGGGAACATTTTCATATATTTGGTCTCATGACTTTTGAATCCTTGTCATATTATTTAGTCAATCTAATTTTCAGTCACTAGTAATCAAGGACAAACTTGTCATTTTCAGTTCCCGCCCTGAGAAGTAGTAATGGAAAATGACAATTTTGTCTTTGGTTACCGATGACTGAAAATTATGTCATAATGACTAAATATGCATGAGATCATTTTTATATTCAGTTTTACGATTTTTGAATCCTTGTCATATTTAGTGATTCTGATATACTTTTCAGTCATTGGTAACTAAAGATAAAATTGTCATTTTCAATTTCCGCCCTGAGAAGTAGTAATGGACTCTAAATTAAGTGATAGAGGCTAAATGTGATAGAGATTTGAAAATATAGTTTTATACCTGGATGGAAAATCCGGAGAAAAACCTTCCAAGTAGTACAAAAGAAGGAGGGTTATTATTGTGACCAATGAAACGAGAAACCCGGCGGCTAACGGAATCAAAATCATCTTTCAAGAAACCGGTGGCGAATCCGAAGCGGTTGACGGAAAGTTCAGTCCCGAAAACATCATCGGCTCTTAAGTGTTCCTTAACAAACGTCTCCACCATGATCCTCGGCGTCTTCGTCACCACCGTTCTCTTCTCGTACGAGCTGAAAACCCTCCAAGCTTCCATGTCAACATCGTCCAGGTAAAACTTGGGCAGGACCGCCCTCGCCACCGCCTCGATCTCCGACACCCTCACCCCGGCCGACGCCACAAAAACCGACAACCTTAATCCGATGTTCCCTGATCTGTCGAGAAACTCCAGCGCTCTGATCGCCGGCCAGAGCATGAGCAGCAGGGCAAAACGGAGCAGCCCGGAGGCCTCGAAGGCCACCAACATGAAGTACGAGAAGGGGTCTGGGCTCTTCAGGAGTGCCCCTTCTAGCTCGGAAACTACGGACTCCATTAGAGGAGCTTCAAAGTTTTTGTGGGTTTTAATTTCCTCGGATGAGACGAATTGTAGTAATGGATGAATAGAAGATGATGAGTAGATGTGCAGATATGGTTGGGCTACTGGAAATGGGGTTATAAGAGATGAAATGGTGGAAAGATGAAGGTAGATTGACTCTCCTCTAATCAAACAATCACTCTGTTTATCCGTTTACAACTACCAGTTCATGTCGCAAGAAAGCTAGCTAGGCTCCTCCCTCGTACAAGTTTTTTTCATTTTTTATTATTTTTGCTCACATAACTCTAAATTTCCTCCAGCTCCAAGATAGTGAATAAATAAATCATGGTGACTTAGATTTCTCTTCAGATTAGAGGATTAATATCTGGTTCCCACGCTCAACTCACTACATTGGGTATAAACCACACACTACAATGGCTAGATTGTATCAATCTCGATCATGCATCTTGCCCATAATCTATCACCTGAGAACTAACAGATCTGTTCGTAGATTTTTTTTTTTTTTATTTGAATGCATTGAAAACAATTTTTTTCCACAAACTGATTTCTTAGTTTATAAAATGAGATTAATTCAATAGAGTTTTAATCGGTCGGGTCTCATTCAGACATGGGATGGAGCTATGATTGGGCTAATGAAAATAAGGTTATAATATAACTTAGGAGAGATGAAATGGTGAAAAATATGAAGGTAGCTAGTCAGGTAGATTGACTCTCCTCTAATGAAAGAATGAGTCCGTTTATCGGTTTACAACTACCAGTTCATGTCGCAAGAAATGATCCTCGTACAAGGTTTTTTATTTTTTTTATTTTTTTTTTTTTTCCTTTCTAATTTGAACCTATTTTTTTTAAAGAGTTAATAACCGATTTGGTCCTCTGACTATTGCGAAACTACCGATTTGGTCCTTGACTATAATTCTTACCCAATTAAGTCCTCAACTATTAAAATCTTACTTGATTTAGTCATCCGTTAAAATTCCATCCATGAGCTGTTAAATTGAAACATTTTAGATTTTCTCAATGCGTCGAGTTGGGTATCGATTCTCGGACTCCTCGACTGGAACTTCTCGACATGTCGACAAGTTTTCTCGACTCGTCGAGTCTTCTGTGACTTCGGCGGCTCAGCTACTAGAAATTTTGGACGCTTCGAATCCCCTATTTCAACACTCCAACTCTGTTTTGACTCCAAGCATGCTTTAGGACCTCCCATTGCTTTTGCAATTGATCTACAATGGTTTCAAAACACTAACAAACACCGTAAAACATTCAAATCAAGTGTAAAACGGACAAAGCGTTTTCTCACCTCCTAGCTTTAACGTCAAAAGTTTGTGGGATGACTCCTGGATTTATCGTTCTCAAGAGGATTGCTGTTCAGAGTAGCCTTGCATTGTCAATAGTAAGAAGGAGGTTTGCATACAATTGAGTGGATGTCACGCAATATTTGATATAGTCGTGTAGGTTTCAAACAACAAACAACTAAAACGAATTAACAAATAAAGGAAATAGGGGTTGAATTGCTAGTGATGATCATGATGCACCTAGGATCATTTGACATGGGAAAGGGACATTGCATATGCTAAGCCTAGGGAGGAAGCTATTCTCCTTTCGTCCTTCAACTACTAGGATTTGTCTAGGAGACACTAGAATTCCCTACGTCGGGCTCTTGGAGTCACCTTGACCATTCCTCAAACACCTTGCCTACACTACCTTTCTACCCAATCCAAAGTGGATTATGAGGCTAGAAAATGTCAAGGTTAGAAGCTTCAAGTGATCTAGCAATCTCTTGCCTAGATCACTTGCTTAGCACAACCCTAGGAGGTGGCCTAGCTCCATAGGATGCTTACAAATTAAACCCTCACAACAAGACTTCAGGCATAGCAAGTATTCAATCTCCAATTCAAGAATTAAGTCACATAGGCATCATAATCAATCACTTCACAATTCAATCCCTAACTAACTAGCCAAGAATAGCAATCAACATTGAAAGCTTGAAATCAAACATAAGAAAGAAATATAAAAGAAGAATTAGAAATGTACCAATGTAGATTACAAACTTGCTAAGATCTCTTGATTAGGAGGTTGTCAATATCTTTCTTCATTGGAAATCTAAAGAGCTATCTAAATCTAGGTGTTTCTCTCTCTACAATCTAACTCTCTACTCCTTCTACCAAATCTAAAAAAACTCTCAAAAGAAAGTCTTCTCCCCTAGAAATGAATCTACAAATGTCTTAAATAGCCTTCCCTTCACAACTTCCGCACAAGGTCACAACGCATGGCACAACGCACCAGACAACGTGCGTTGTGCGTTTAAGTTCCTGATCTACGGATTCTGCGATGTGCGTTGTGCTCCTCGTGGATCTTTCTGTTTCTTCAAAACGCACGTCACAATGTGCGTTGTGCCACTTGTGGATCTTTCTGCTTCTCCACAACGAATGTCACAACGTGCGTTGTGCCTCCTGTCTTGGCCTCGGCTTGTCTCCTTTTCCTGCTTTGTTCCGTCCTATGCCACTTTGCCTCGTTTTCATCCAAATTGCCCTACAAAATCATAAAATACAAAGTGTGGTGATATTTTATAGTACAATGCACAAACTTAGCTTAAATGGCCTAAATATGGTACACAAAGGATCATAATTAGCTCAAAATGCACCTAAATGAGACCCTAAAACTAGGTGTCTTTGACACTTATCAAAAACCATATCTTAATGAGAAAACAAGGGAATACGCATTTAGAGTAACATTTTAATGAACTTAAACCCAACAAATAGATTGAATCTAACAAGAGAAACATGTACAATTAAGCTCACATCACAACTAAAATTATTAGTTGTAGTAGTGTCTGGATTTAAGCACATTTAGATAGTTTAGATAGTTCACCCGAGATTATTAAAATCTTTTCATAGATAAATCATTATTTTAAGTTTAGAAAAGATCTCACAACAATTATGTTGTTAATGTGAGAAATTATGAACTAGAGAATATAATATCGACCATTAAGGGCCCGTGGGCTAGGTAGGTGGCCCTACTTAAACTGAATAATAGCACCTTGGTGGGCTTGCAAGTAGCCCGAGAAGGTAATAAGAAAAACACTTTTTATTATTTTATTACTGCATTTCATCCCCTTTCATTTTCAGTGTTGGGCCTGCAACGCGAGTAGGCGACCCAAGAGGAAAAAAAAGGGAGAAAAAAAAAAAAGTCTCGCGCCTGCAATGCAGGGTAGGCGGCCAGTAATACGCATTTTGACCCAGGTTAGTAGGACATAATCCTCGGCTTGGTGTGCACATCTCCACTTGGGCCTGCATGGCATGGTACGCAACCCAATGCTTATATCGAAAAAGGGCCCACAGAGCAGGGTAGGTGGCCCTCATCTCGTATAGCACCAGCAAGGCGTAGGAGGCGGCCCGTATGCATCTTCACCCGGGCTTGCAAGGTAAGGTACACAGCCCAGCATGCGAATCTTGACCTAGGCCTAAAGGGAAAGGTACGCAACCCAGCTTACTGAGTTACTGGAAACCAAAAAAAAAAAAAAAAAAAAACAGAGAAAAAAATCATGGTTAGTGCATTATCCCACTTCTCAACGATCGACATATTTCTATCCCACTTCTCAACGATCGACATATTTCTATCCCACTTCTCAACAGTCGACATATTATTATCCCGCTTCTCAGCGGTAGACATATTTATATCCTGCTTCTCAACGGTCGACATATATATTATTATCCCGCTTCACAGCGATCGATATATTATTATCCCGCCTCTTAGTGGTCAACATATATTTATCCTGCTTCTCAGCGATCTATATATTTTTATCCCGCTTCTTAGTAGTCGGCATATTATTATCGCACTTCTCAGCAATTGACATTATTATTCCGTTTCTCAGCAGTGAACATGTTATTATCTCGCTTCTCAATGGTTGACATATTTCTATCCCGCTTCTCAACGGTCGACATATTATTATCTCGCTTCTCAGCGGTCGACATATTATTATCCCACTTCTTAGTGGTCGACATATTATTATCCCGCTTCTCAGCGGTCGACATATACTTATCCCGCTTCTCAGCGGTCAACATATCTTATACTGCTTCATAGCGGTCAGTGCATTTAAATCTTGCATCTCAGTGGTTGATATATTCCGCTTCTCGATGGACCGCTAACTTACCCTTTGAGCAAGGCGTCTTAGTGAGCCCACGTGAAGGGAAGACGGCAAAAGAACTCTTTCTTTTTCTTACAGAGTACGTGTGAGAGCTAAGTTGTCTTGACGAACAACATGCAAGGAAGGTTGTAGGGACCGATCACCGAGCTGTCCGAATGAGATGAGAAGTTTTCAGACCAAGAATCAAGAGAGTCAAAGCGTGTAGAAGGTTGAGAGTGTCTTTACTTTCTCTGCCCACTAAAGATAACCAAAGAAAGTGAGGGACTTATGATGAGGACTTGTGACCCCGAGGTGCCATTTTATTGGGAAAGTCTTGGCCCAAGGGGGTGGCAGGGAATAATTGTGGTCCAATAAGTTGAAAGAGTGAAACATGGAGACAAATATTAAAAGATGTGTTGTTTTTCTTCAAAAAAAAAAAAGGATGTGCTGCCAAGGGATCTCAAACTTGTAAACTCTGGCATAACAACACAAGTACCAACCACCCAGCCCCTCAAGATATCACATACAAGAAGGTAGGATGCCCCGGCCTATTTATCCGTGTAAAGATCGTTGACATCTAGGTAGTGGAGGACACGTGTATGACCATTATTGAAGACTAGCAGATGTCGCACATTTGTCAATCATCTGGAAGATCTTCAACAATATACGGAGTAATATATAAGATACCCTTGCCTCCCTTTAAAGATCATCCCTTGTTCATAACCATTTTCCTGGTCCAGTGGCCTGTACTATAGTTCTAACCTTCAACCCAAACACCAGGGTTTGATTCCTAGCAGCAATATTATTATTCCTTATTTACGTATTTTCTGGGCTGGTATCTCATAAGGCTTTATATGTACTTTTTGGGGCCTAACTCATCGAGCAATAATACTACTATTTTTCTATCCCTCTATCTATACTTTTATACCCGATTTATGGTGGATCATATCCCGACAAAACTATCACTAAGATTTCAAATTGGGATGAGGAAATTTTCTAATTCTCTATTTATAAGACTAAAACTCAGAATCCTATTTAAAAAAAAACCAAACCCATTTCATTTGAGTTCTAAATCATAACATCTAAGGAA